ACACACACACACACACACACACACACACCCCACTTAGGGCAAAACCTAAGTCTCCCCTGGCCACTGCACTTTCTTCACTGTGTACAATGCAACAATTCCATTTTACTTATCTCTGCTCTTTTCTATTTTCTTCCATGTGTTTATCACATTGATTCTGTCTAGAATATGATAGTTTACAAAGTGAGGTGCTAACACTACTCTGAGAGATAGGCTATAGACAAGGAGGACTAAGGACCAAGGGCATCGACTATATTCTCATATCAGTCTTATACCTACACTTTTGAAAAATGAGTAATTTCATCCAAATCAGAACTTTAATAATTAGACTAAAGTCATGTAGTTGTAAGATGAATACTTTTTGGGCCTCATGACTAAGAAATACACGTTTAATCCAATATCTCTGATGGTTAAAATAATGCAAAATTAAAAACAGAAAAAGAGTAAGAAAAGGTAGTTGATTAAACATTAAAAGAAAAGAAAAAAGATGTTGACTCAAGCATATTCTTCTTTTTTTAACAAAGAATTAAATCAACTAGTCCAAAGCAATATTCTATAATTTGTGATAATACCTCAAAATAAAAATTAGTTATATAATGTTTTCTTCAATAATACAAGGCCAGTAGAGAATTTTACACCTAATATAAATTCAGTCTTTAATTTAGGACATGAAAGAAAAAAATGATACATATTCATATGATTCTTTTAAGGTGTTTTAAATTAAATTTTACTACTTAGCCAGTAATGTAAAAACCTGCTTAATATAACATATTTCAGCTAAAGCAACAATATTAGAAGGGAAAGAAGTGCTTACATAAAGAATAGAAATGTTCCTAATAAAAAGGATCATAAAAACTGCTTTTCCTCTAATTTTTGAGAAATAATTTGTAATCATATAAATATTCTAAATTTCCCATTAGTCCTCTAAATATCATTTACTGTTAGTATTTTAAAAATCCAATTCAGTTTCTAACATATATTTTACCTGACTTTTTTATTCAGTCAGTCTCTTTTAATTTAGCATAATCTCTGTTTTCTACTCATTTTTTCCTCATGCCACTTACCTGGTAGGAAGTGTTTCTTTGAACAAAACATTTTTTTTAAAAAATCAAAGGTCTAAACTTAATGATAATATATTATAAGCTTTACTTACCAAAAGAGAATAGGGACGTCCATTGTGTTCAAATGTTTCAGAAATGAAATCTGTATTGTGGTCCAGTCTTTGGTGCCCTCCATATTTGTCTGCATCTGAATCCAGTACAATTTTGAATGTACAGCTATTAAGGAAGTCACAATTTTTCAGGAATTGAATGGGACATTTTGAAATACATTTGGAGGTAGAAATTTAAAAGTTATTATCCGGAGTATTTTTAAATCATGCCTCTATACCTCTATCTAAAGCTATGGCAGTTTAAACCAGGGCAGGCTGATCTGAATTGACTAATTTCTTCTCTAGTATTTCAGAACTCCTGAAGTCTGAAATCTCTTCTATCCTTCTGTCATAGCTCATCAAGTGGTCTTCCTGCTTGGGACTGAATATGCCTGTTTCCAGAGAATCAACCTTTCTGTTGTGACAACCCATTCAACTTATTAGAAATAGTTCTCTGTTGACTCCCTGCTACCCACAAAGGACTTAAAGAATTCCACTAACTTCTCTAAAGAATAACTTCAAATATTTGAAAATTACAATGCCGTCTCTTCCAAAATCCCAAGGTAAATCCATCTCTATTGAGCTGATTGTAACTCATGGTGACCTTGAAGGAGAAAACACAACCACTGCAACAGATTTCCAAGAAGGCTGCACAACTTTACTGAAAGACACCACCACATCTTTTTCCTAAATAGAAGCTGGTGGGTTTAAACCACTGATCTTCCAGTTAGTAGCCATTCGCCTAAACAGTGTGCCACTTATGTTCTCTGAAACATAATGAAATACATATTATATATAATTCCTGGCAGATCTAGTGATACAATCTGTAGTAAGCTGCATTGGTAACTCAATAGCTGCCCAGGTCCAGTGTTTCAATCCACCAGTGGCTTGAGAGAAAGATGGGTAATGCCTTCTTGTCTCAAGCAATGTAACACTGTCCTTATTTGATAGAGTTTATTAGCTCCCTCCCTATCTCTTAATTCATCAGTCTCAATTAGTTTTTGGTTATTAACATGAAGGATACAGAACTGACCATTGCAAAAGAAAGCACACTTCCTCATTCCCCCAGATACAGACATTGTACTATTATCAACACAGTGATTTTGTAAAACAAGCTCTGGTGGCCTGCTTACTGGTAAGGATTTGTGCTGCCAGCCAAAAGGCACATGGTTCAAATTCATCAGCGACTCCAAGCGACTCCTTTTGGCAAAAAGATGGGCAATATCCTCCCATGTAATTTACAGCCTCTCAAAACCTACTGGTTTGTCAGTTATGAGTTGATTCCAACTCAATGATACAGAGCAACAAGAATAAGAACAACAATTAGTCATACTACAGCAGTATTCACGTTATAATCATGGGCCCTGCAGTCACTTAGCATCTTCTGAAGGGATTTTCTTCTTCTTCTTTCTCATTGTGTTCTTAGCTTTATGAGTATTTATAGTAAAATAAATCATCTTGTTTCTTAGATGCCATCTAGTTGATTCTGACTCATCCAAACAACAGCTTTAAAGTCTGCCTTTTTCCTGTACTATCTTCATTATTTCTGCTGTGCTTAATCATTGTGCCAGTCTATCTCATTAAGAGTCTTCCTTTCTTTTGCTGAACCTCTAATTATGCACATATGTCATTTTCCAAAGACTGGACCCTCCTAGTAACATGCCCAAAATATGTGAGGTGACGTTTCATTAGTCTCACATTTATGTAGCACTCTGGTCATGCTATTATAAAGGTGACAGTGAACGTGTCCTTACATTATTATAATTTCCTGGGAATCTATAGCATAGTAGGCATTATCTGAACAGAAAATTATAATATTATGCATACTTAGGGAGCTCTGGGGGCTTAGTGAGTTGCACTGTCAACCCAAAGGCATGCAATTTGATTTTACCAGCTGTTGCATGGGAGAAAGATAGGCAATCTCCTCTCTTGTGATTTATAGCCTCTGAAAATCTGCTGCAACATCATTGTATGAGTTGGTTCCAACTCAATAGCACATAACAACATGCATATTTAGTATTATATTTAAAAAATTATCATTTTTGATTAATAAAATACAGATGAAAAATATTACTAAATTAATAGGAAGTTTATCCCTTTACATTTCTCAATTAAAAATGGTTATAATATCCACTCGATTCTTATTTTGAAAGATATCATCATAAAAATGGTTAAAATATACATATTTAACACATACAACTTGTAATTGTATAAGAAAATATTATAAAATCAATATAGAAAATTATGAAACATCAATTTAGACATATTTCCATAGTGCTGGAGAAGCATATTGAACATATCACAGACTACCAGTAGAACAAATAAGTCTATCTTGGAGAAGGTAAAACCAAGTCTTTCCTTGATGGCAAGGACTTTGAAGCTCCATCTCACATACTTGGGCATGTGGTTAGGAGGGGCCAGTCCTTGGAAAGGGACATCATGCTTGGAAGGGTGAAGCAACAGTGCAGGAGAGGAAAAATCCTGATGAGATAGATTGAAGGTAACTGGGGCAATAGGGTTAGGTGTGTTGAGTCAATGAGATTGGCTCAGGATAGGGCAGGGTTCAGAGCTATTGGACATAGGATCACTATAAGTCAAGGATGACTCGGTGGCACATAACAACAACAACAACAATAAAATTTAAATGAAAAATTACTGTGGCTGGTGGATTTTTTTAAAATTATGTAATTCTGTTGGGATCAGCTGAAACATACAGATTGTAAAGAATACATTGTCTAAAGAAAATTATTTTCTTCCTTGGATAACATAGACATACTCACTCCAGAAAGCCAAACAATGAAAATACCAGATTAAAAGCAATGTTTGAAAAATATTTTGGTAAATTGCTACTAAACATTATTTAAGTCCAAGAAACTTTACTTTTGAGAAATATTGCTCAGATTTAGAATAGACATCAATTTTTAAGAAGTAATCTGATCAATTTTTTTTCCACATGTTCTCTCACTACCATTCTCTCATTCTCATTGTTTCCAATAAACACACATACAGACATAGCATGAGACAAAGCACCAAACCCCCATACTCATACCTCTTTTGTCATAACTTTCTTTCTACATCACTCACTTATTGCTGCGAAGTTGGAACCGTCATAGAGCTGACCCCTTCATTGGGATTCAGAGGCTGTAAATTGTAAGGAGAGATTGCCTAGTTTTCTTCTCCTGCAGAGCCTCTAGTGGATTCAAATTGCCAAAGGCCTTTGAGTTAACAGTCGAAACAAATACTCATTGCTGTTGTATCAATTCCAGACAACTCTGAATGATCCAAAAGAATAGAATAGAACAATGCCAGGTGGTTTCTAAGGCTATAATCTTTATGGAAAGAAATGAACTCATTTTTCTTCTGTGGGGGGAGCCTTGTTCAAACTGCCAATCATACGTTTAGCAGCTGAAAGCTTTACCTATGGTGCCACAAAAGTTCTAGAACTATATATAGTTCCCAGGGAATTTACTCTAATTTTGTTACACTAACTTTAACTTTACATCTCAATATGGTTTCCAATTCTGTAGCAGGGAGAACAGATTTAGCTGGATATTTCAACAGACACTATTTTGTATATTGCCCTGTCCAATACTCTCCCCGAACCCTGACACAGTGCCTCTGGTAATACTATAAACCAAAACAAGACAGACTGGTAATACTATAAACCAAAACAAGACAGAAAAAAACAACAAGCACCCTGAATTCATTGCCACTGAATTGGTCCTCACTCTCAGTGGCCCTCCATTAGGTTTCCAAAGCTGCAGATCATAAGGAGGGCAACTACTCAGCTTTCTCCCTCAGTGTGGCTAGTGGATTTGAAACACTAGAGACACTGACATCTGGTTTAGCAGTGCAGTTCACTCTAGACTACCAACCTGAGTGCCAATAACATGTTCTCAACAAATCTTTGAGGGTAGTATTTCAGATGAAAACCTTGAAATATAAAAAAGATCAAATTTCATTTACTAATTTTTTAATTAAAATAAAGCAGCATAAATTAAAAAAAAAATCCACTCAGATATAGCCTTGGTTTGCATGCATCTCACCACCTTTAATGGAAGATTGCTGTCATTGTTACGTGCCATTGAATTGGAACCAACTCATAGCTGACCCAAGTAGGTTTGCAGAAGCTGTAAATCACACAGGTGGCAATTGCCCTAGACAAGCATACACACATCTCCAAGATAAACAGAAAGTGATACACAATGAGATGTATGTAGGTCAAAGAGGAAAAGAACAACTAACCGTTTATTTCTATATTTCTTTATAAGAGTGATATTTAGATTTTTGCAAAGAGGTATAATAATAAAAAAAATTATGTCAAGAGAAGAATCAACTGTACAGGGAAATGTCTGATGTCAAGGAGACCAGTCAGGAGACTAACAACAATCTAAGGGATAATGAATGTGAGGTGAATCTAACAGTGAGAATGTCAAAACACAATCTTCATTAGATTACTGGACATACAATTTGGTAATATGAAAAACAAATTGGGGTAAAGAATGAAGAGAAGAAAGAGGTACAGCTAGAGCTAAAGTGCATTAGGCATCTTCTGCGTAGCAAATACTAGGCATTTTGCACATATTATTCCAATTTATACTAGCATACAATTCTACACATAAGAAGGCTCATTGGAAAAAACAAGTGGAAGAGGTGAATTCTTGTGCCCAAAGACAGATAGCTTCAGAGGGAAGTGTACACAACAGTTAAACGTAGGTATGACTACCCTACTCTACAATTAGGAAACTTACTAAAGTAAGAATCAGGCACAGTATTTCTATGCTTACTTTATTACTTAATCCTAAATTTAAGATTCCAAACCTAAAGAGGCCAGCATGAAGACATGAGAAAAACAAATTAAAATAGGATAAAAATGAATCCCACATAGATAAATTATACAAATTTAAATAATTTATTTAATTAAAATTTGAAAACCAATATTAAAGGACAAAACTCTTAGTAGATGCTTAATCTTTATGAATTCTGAATAGATAAGGCTCCAGTGTTTCAAATCCATGAGTCATATTGAGGGAGAAAGATAGGCTGTATCCTCTCTTTATGATTTAGAGCCTTGGAAACCCAGTTGAGGGTCCCTGAGAGCTGGGACCAACTGAGTGGCAG